AAAAAAAAAAAAAAAAAAAAAAAAAAAAAAAAAAAAAAAAGGATTAAACAAACTATTTAAGGAAAAAGCTCCCAAGTTAAATCTAGAGAAAATATTACTACATACAATAATAAATATATTTCATTGACTTTACCCATCAAACTTACATAAAAGGCCTCCACCAACTGCCTGAAGCACAGTTAAAATTGGGAAGAAGTAAAGTGCAGCATAAATACTTTTAAATCGATCAGACTTCCCTAACCCACATGCAATCTTCTTCACCAGAAGAGGTCGGAGCAGCATCATTAATACCAAGCAGAATGCATAATAGATAAATACAATGGTATATCTGTAAAATAAAATAGAGAATTTGTAACATTAGAAATGTTTTAAAAATGTTTTTATCCTTGATCATTTTTAAATGAAAGCTCCAAAAAAAGGTTTACAAAGCATATTTAGTCTATCCATTGGATACTCAGATTGGTGGAAGGCTGGCCAAACAGGCTCTCATACACTGCTAGCAAGGGTACAATGGTTGCTTTCTTAGGCAGTCTGGAAATATGTATCAAAAAATCCTAAAACCTTTATCCCTTTTGATTCAGCAATTTTACCTGTAGAAATGTATCAGAGGGAAACAACCAGGCATACACAAAAAACCCTATTGTACAAGGATTTTTACTGAATCACTTATAATAAACAAAAGTCCAGAAGAAAACAAATATTCAATAATAGGAAACTAGTTATATTTTATAGTATATTCATGCTGCAATATTATGCAGACATATAAATTTAGTTATGAAAACATTAACAAAAGTAACTGTGCCTAATATATTAAGTGCCGACAGCTTACAAAATAGCATGTCATAGTATAAGCTTAATATTCTTTAAAATGTATACATACATATGCAGAAATAAAACTGGAAAGATAAAATTTTTAGCAGAATCCCAAGGAACAGAATTACAGATTATTTCATTCTGTGAGTGCTTTATCTACGTTTTTGAAATGTCCTATTTTTAATGTAATTACATTTTTAATGTAATTTTTATAATCAGAAAAGAAAAAAGCTGTAGAAAAAGCTGTGTCACCAGACTTCTAGCATTTTATTTTGAATAATGGGTCTTTCAGCCACATAGTTCTAACCTAACTTTCATGAGTATTTCCAAATCATTTTTACTATCTTGCTACTCAAACCCTCTCCCTGTACAGGGGAGTGTCCTAGAAAGTGCAGCAGTCATTTCAGATCACCAACCACATGCTTCCTCCCCACACAACTAATGATACCATAATCCTGTGTTCTTATGATACTTTCAGGTTCAGTCCTGTACCGTAATGCATTAAGACATGTTTCATCTCTTGGGTGATACTTTTTTGTCTCGTTATTACCACCCACTACCAACTTCAAAAGAAAACAAAATCTATCCATTCCTGCAACTTGTAGTTCCTTAAAAGATTATTTTAATCAAGAGGAAACCATCATGTGTTACCTTTTCTAATGAATCAGTTTATTCGGAGAATAAACTGAAGTTACTAGAGGCTGTTTACTTGTTCAAAGTAATGTAACAGCTGGCAGACCCAGAACTCAAACCCACATCTGTTTTAGTCTCCAAAGTCCATAAAATCTGTAATAATCCTCAGAGATTTTTTAAAAATGCTAATAAGTCTAAATAAACACTTACAGTGGGTAGACAGCTTCATGAGTACAGTGCACTGTGGTAACATAATCTGGACTTGGGTTGTAAAGCATCGTGTACCAGTCAGAAAGCATCAATACTCGACATGACCGAATATAAAGAACACCAACTGGATCACTCACAAGTAAGGTGATGATAGCTGCCATGCTGCATTCAAACAATGCAGTTATGTGTTGGAAAAGTGCGCTGGAACTAGAGAAGAAGGAAAAGAGGCATGATTACCAGAAAAATTGCAATATTTAAATGGATTTAATAAAACATGTATGTGTGTCAAGATACAGATTTCTAAATAGATGAGAAAAGCCAAACATAAAAACTACTCAAGAGTATAACCTTATTTTCTCAAAAGGGATAAATAACACTGTGGCCCTATTATCTAAATGTGTAACAGAAAAGGAGAAATTAGATCTTGTATCTTTAGTATCTTGCCAAATTGTTGCTAAAAATTTCTTAGTTATCTGTGTATCATTTTAATATTTTAATATACACATAAAAGATGGCATGTAACATGTATTTGTTACAAAGTATAATCATTATAATGAATATTATAAGCTCATCTCCTACCCGATAACTAGTACACTGTCAACAATTGATATCTATTTCTTTGTTCCTCCCCATCCATATCTCTATCTCTCCCCTAAAGGCAATCATATACCAAAATGCTTTTATCACCTTATTCTAGAAAGTTTTTATCCCAGCTGTATTTATGTTTCACAGCTACTCTGGTTAGTTTTACTTATTTTTGAACGCTATAAAATGATGGCACACTAATGTAAGTGTTCTGAGATTTTTTTCCACTTGAAATTGCATTTCTAAGTTTCATCCATGCTATTCACCCTTATAGCAGAGGTTCAGTCATTTTCGCTACTAGGTTAAGATTCCACTGTGTGACAATACCGTGATTTGTTTATCCATTCTGCCATTAGTTAAATACATTGCAAATATGTTCCTCTGTTTGTGGGCTCAATTTTCACTTTCTTCATGATTTCTTTTTATAAACATGTTCTAAATTTTAATATACTGGGCTTTATTTTTTTCCTACTTAGCAGTTTAAATGTTTTAACAAATCCTTCTACACCCTGATAATGTAACACACACACACCCACACACACACACACACACACCCACCATATTTTCTTCTAAATATTTTAAAGTTTTGCTTTTCACATTTATCTTTAATTCACCTAAAAAGAGATTTCTGTGTTTAACATAAGGCAGGATCTGACTTTACCTTTTCCCATTTGAATTGCCAATTGTCCCAGCAGCAGCATTTTATTGAACAGGTACTCCTTCCCACACGTGCCCTCAACTAATTTGCCATGGCACTTCTGTCACATAAAGTTTCATATATAATTGCCTGTGTTTTGGCTATTTTGTTTCTTGAGTCTATTTATCTATTTCTGAGCCAAAAGAATAATATGATCATAATTCTTGATGTTACATACAGTCTTCTACTTCTTTGGTGGTCTTGGCCATTCCTGGCCCTTTGCTCTTCCATATGAATTTTAAAATTGGCTTGTCAAGTGCTCAGATAAATCCCATGTAGCTTAGCTATCTTGGTCTGAGCTATGTCACAGTACTGTGGTACTGTACATGGAATATAAGAAATAGTTTCATATATTTATCTTATAGCCAACCTTTTTATTAACTGTCTTGTTATTTCTAATATCTAGTCTATAGGTGATTTTAAGTTTTCTACTTGAACACTGTTTTCATTATGTATCATTGCATAGCAAACTACCTCAAAACTTAGTGGCTTGAAACAACCACCACTGACCTCTTCTCACTATTTTGTGTTTTGACTGGGCTCAACTGGGTAGTTCTTTCTGCTCCACATGATGTCAACTTGTCTAGAGGCTTGACCATGCTGCAGTGTTTAAAATGACTAACTCATATGGTTGCAGTAAGTGCTGGCTGTTAGCTGGAAACACAATCAAGGCTGTTAACACGTGCGCCTTGGTTCTCTTCCACATGGCTTCTCTTTTGTTTTCAGTATTTTGCAGTTTAATTATGATGCGTGTAGGTGTGAATTTCTATTTATTCTGCTTGAGATGTATTTTGCTTCTGGGATCTGTGAATCTGTTTCTCATTATTTTTGTAAAACCTGAAGCCAGTATCTCTTAAAATACCAGCTCTCCTTCATAGTCTCTATTTTTCCAGAGACCCTAATTAGATACTATGGACAAAGACTTAACAAAACATTTATGCTGTGCATGAGAATCTAGCCTTAACTCTCTAGCTCTTTTCTCCAGGAAGCCTGATAAGGATAGAATGTCAACTATGTTGCTAGGCAACACTGCTTATAATACAAATGATCCCTGACTGATAAATTACATCTGGACTGGGGAGAACCATAAATTAACTATAAATGCCTGATGGGGATACCATGGTTTGGCTTTCTTGAGTTCAGTGACTCTTATAATTGGCATGTCACTTGCAGGACCCCAGAAGTTCATAGAGTTGTTTTAAGAGAGACTGGCTCCTGTGAAGTATAAGACTTTAGGCGTGGACCACTCCCACACCCACCCAACATGGATCTCACCTTCTTGCACCTGATTTCCCATCTCCTTCTTTCTCAGTGCTATATTCCATTATTTATATGCATTTTTTTTTCTAGTTTACTAATTCTATCTTCAACTGTTTAATCTGCTGACTACCTTTCTTTTTCTTTTTTTGGCACGCAAAAATTTTCATTTCTAAAAGTTTCCTTTGTTTCTCCCATCACATCTGTTTACTCCTAATAATCTCTTATTATGGACAGTTTGTGACTACATTCTTAATTTCTTTATAAGTAGCAGTTACATATCCTGTAGGCGAAAGTCCATTATCTGTATCCTTTGAGAGCATAAATATATTGTTTGTTGCATCTACCAATAAGTCATAGTGCTATTTTATTTAGTAACCACAGATTATGAGGTCATTACTAGAGCTTAATGAGCAACAGTCTTATAGGCTTAAATTGAGAATGGGGAAGCTTTCCAGCAAAGAGGCTTTCCTGCTTCTGCCAGCAGCCATGGCCACTACTACTTTGGGCTTCAGGCCCTTGAGAGTCTAGTCTTAGTATAGGCTACCCAAGATTCAGTATCCAGATAACAACACTGGGGCTACCAGCAATTGACCTCGGACAACCCTCTCATCCCATTCTGTCTTGCCATTCTGGCCCAGCTTAGGGTCGGCTGGTTTGTGTTTTGAAAAAGAAAAGTTCCTAGAGATCTTTCTATCTCCAGCTGGGACCAGCAATGTCTCACATAGTTTATCTTTCCCAGACTTGGTTATTTCATGCAGGTGGGTTCACTTGGAGCTTCTAATTAACTCTGTTAAAAACAGAACTCCTGTGCCATTTTACAAAGATGAAAACACTGAATATATAAATAAACACACATTCACATTATGTAATTTGATATTTTGCTTCCTTATAGAATTTATATTTTTAGAGGCAAAATCCCAACTTCATTATTTCTTGCCATTACTTTGGTAACCTTCTTACTGGTCTTCTTGTCATGTTCTCTTTCAGTCTATCTGCAGCCAGCCACAAAATCTTTATAAAATGCAATCCGATTTTAAAACTCCTCTCATTAAACTACTTTGAAGTCCTTTCTGTCTTTCTGGAAAACTACCCCTCACCAGCATCATCTTCTTTATTTCCTGGCCATGCTAAATGACTTTAAGTTCACTTGTGCCTCCACACATCTGGGCATGCATCATCCTCCACCTCAAAACACATTTCACCTATCTGCCAAACCATGCATCCTTCCAGATCAGCTTAGGGGTTATCTACAGTTTTTATGAACATTTGTTAAGACACCTCCAGCCCCAATCTATCTGGACTGTCCTAAGTGCAAAGTTTCAGGAAATTGTAAGAGATGGCCCTTGTGTTCCTTGTTACCAATTTCCTAGGCAAAGCATAGTTGTACAACTCCTTCTTTTTAAACCTCGTTTCCTGTCTGAGCCTTAGTCACTCCTCTGTCTTCCCTCAAACCAATCTCTAGTCTCTGCTTCAAGTCTCTTCCTCAAAACATAGCTGATGTTTGAATTCAAATACATTTGCTCTCTCCTCTACTTTAGGCTGAGAAGTTCCTGCCAACTGACTGGGCAGTTATTCTATTTCAGCTTTAAATTGATCACATCTCCTTTCTCACCCCATCTATCATCATTCTATTAATATAAAAGAAATTAAAAGCAGGATGAAAACTGCTATTTTTAAAGTATTTTTATAAATTAATCTGAAAAATTAAAAGTGCTTTCCCAATGTAAATAACCACCTTCCAATTGTTAGGTAGGACCCAGAAAACTGCTGATTCTATTTCCCTCTGACCATCTTTTTCATTTCCATTCCAACTACCATAGTCTATTTCTTTGACACAGTCTTCTATTAAATATCTTACCTCTAATCTACCCTACACATGAAGAAAGAAATTTTCTTTCTAAAATATACATCAAATGATGCCACTTCTGTACACCAGACCTTCACAAATAAATGACTCACTCAAATACAGAGTGAGTTTTTGGATGCTCATTCCCTCCAAATCTCATGTTGAAATGTAATCCCCAAAGAGGTGAGGCCTATTGGGAGATATTTGGGTCATGGTAGTGGAAGCAGTAATGAGTGAGTTCTCTATGAGTTCATGTGAAATTCAGTTATTTAAAAGACCCTGGTGGCCAGGCGTGGTGGCTCACACCTGTAATCCCAGCACTTTGGGAGGCTGAGGCAGGAGGGCTGCTTGCACCCAGGATTTGAGACCAGCCTGGGCAACAATAGAGAGACTTTGTCTTTATAAAATATAAAAAATTAGTGGGGCGTGGTATTGCACACCTGTAGTCTTGGCTATTTGGAAGGCTGAGACGGGAAGATCACTTGAACCTAGGAAGTCAAGGTTGCAGAAAGCAGTGATCACGCTACTGCAATACAGCCTAGGTGACAAACCAAGACCTTTTCTCAAAAAATAACAATGAAAAAATAAAATTAAAACTAAAATAAATAAAAGGGGTATCTCCTCCCTCTTTCACCATGTAGTTCCTCTTTGCCTCCTGCCTTCTCTCATACTGGTTCCCCTTTGCCTTCTGCTATGATTGGAAACTTCCTCAAGCCATCACCAGAAGCAGATGCCAGCACTATGCTTCATATACAGCCTGCAGAACCATGGGCCAATTAAACCTTTTTTCTTTATCAATTACCCAGTCTCAGGTATTCCTTGATAGCAACACAAATGGACTAACAGAAAATTAAAACTGAAAGGTGGGGCAATGCTATAAAGATACCTAAAAATATGAAAGCAGCTTTTGAGCTGGGTACCAGGCAGAGGCTGAAAGAGTTTGGAGATATCAGAAGAAGACAGGAAGATGAAGGAAGGTTTGGAACGTCTTAGAGCCTTGAGTAATTGTGACCAAAATACTGACAGAAATATAGACAGTGAAAGCCAGACTGATGAGGTTTCACATGGAAATAAGGAAGTTACTGGGATCTGTAGTAAAGGTCACCCATATTATGCCCTAGCAAAGAACGTTGCTGCATTGTGTCCATGTCCTAGGGATCTGTGGAAGTTTGAACTTAAGAGTGATGACTCAGTGTATATGGTGGAAGAAACTATTAAGCAACAAAGCATTCAAGATATGCTGTGGCTGCTCTAACAGCCTATGATCAGATAGATGTGGGAGCAAAGGAATGATCTAAAAGTTGGGACTTAAAAGGAAAGCAGAGCCTAAAAGTTTGGAAAATTTGCAGCCTGGCTGTGTGGTAGAGAAGAAAGGAGCATTTTCAGGAGACGAATTCAACCAGGCTGCAGAGCAAAACTTGCTAGAGAGGTTAGTATAGCTAAAAGAAAGCCAAGTGCTAATAGCCAAGACAATGAGAAAAGGCCTTGAAGGCATTTCAGAAAAGTAGGCTGTTTTCCTTATTTTTCTCTTTTATAGCACTCTGTTTTGTTGTTGTTTCATTTTTAGCACTCAACTTTCTCAGTGACTTTTAAACTGAAATTAGAAGGAAAAGAAGGTAACTAGGTAACAAGTTGCAGTCAGATGAAGAAGACAGTATTTCAGACAGCAGAAGGAGGCTGGAGGAAGGGAAAGAACCTAAAGTAAGAAAGATCTTGAGAAGCTGGAAGAACTAAAAGAAAATCAGTGTGGCTGAAATGCACTAAGGCAGAATTTGACTTCCCATTCCCAGCTGATTAAAGTTCACATGCTTGTCACGAACCTTCACATTCTGCCCTCAACCTATCTTTCCTATTCCCCCTTATATTACTTTTCTTCATTTGTAACCCACTCTTGACCACCCCAGATTACTTCCATTCTTACCTACCTCAGATCACGTATTTCACACCTCTATGCCATTATTCATGCTATTTCCTCTGCCTAAAATGTTCCTTTTTGAAATCTTTCAGATCCCATCAGGCATAATTTATCTCTCCATTTTTTGTAACTCCAGAGTACTTTGTTTCTAACCCTCCCACTCCATGTCTAAGACTGCTTTATATTATAATTATGTACACATTTGTTTTCTCCACAAGATTCTGACTATAAACCATGTCAGTTATTTTTATATATCCTTCCCAATCTTCCAAACATAAAACGCAGTGCTCAGTAAACATGTGCTGATTTAATATGTTAATATGAGTTTTTGTATTAGGTTACGGCCATATCATTTTTAACTACATACTTGATTATTAGTATTAAATTATAAAGAATGTGTTCCATAACAATAAATAGCTTGTAATCATAACCAACTTTTTTGTAGAAAACCAGTAAGGATTATAGTTGAGAAGTAAAAAAATATTCCTTCAAGATCAGTTAGACTAAAACACACTATGGAGAGTTCCCTTAAAAATCACTAAGTCATGCCCTATTGTTAAGTTTTCTTGTCACAGGTAAGACTAATCTGAAGATAAAGGAAAAATATGTTTACCACTTTTAAAACAACAGAAGCAGTATAATTACTTAATAAGGTCTTCCGAGTGATAATTGTTCCAACATTAGTCCAGCCAGATATGTTCATAGAAATGTGCTAACCTCTTTTTCCCCGAGTACCATTCAATGAAGAACCAATGTAAAACCAGAGGAAGCATTGCCATAAATCCAAGATAGAGCCAATCATAAAGTTCAGGAGATTCTGTGCAAGGCTGACAATATTTTTGTGCATTCGTTCTCTGTCCTCTCGGGCATACCTACAATAAATAAAACCAATATTTTGTGTACAGATATTATTTTGGAATATTAACAACCCCCCCATCATTCTATAAGACATGCTATTTCAGTTTAAATATTTAAACTGAAATTATATGTGCAGGTTTTAGAAATTTTAAAAAAGCATAAAATAAAAAGGAATCTATATTGTATGTGCTATTTTTGTACAATGCTCTTAAAAGATTGCTTTTACTAAGTTACTAAAAAGTTGATTAACATTCAAGGAAAAACCTAGTTATTAACATTATACAAGAATAATTGCAGATAAATGTTCTGGATTCATGATGTTCAAATTACTGTATAACACACTGTATTAAATCACAAGAAACTAGAAATTATAAAATTATTAAATGTTTTAAAAAATAATACAGACGTCAAAATGCCAACATAAACAATGACTGTTTTAATAAAGCCTCCATATTCTTTCATTTTTTTTTATTTTATCTTTTTTTGAGATGCAGTCTCTCTCCGTTACCCAGGCTGGAGTGCAGTGGTGCAATCTCAGCTCACTGCAACTTCCAACTCCTGGGTTCAAGCAGTTCTCCTGTTTCAGCCTCCCGAGTACCTGGGACTACAGGCTCACGCCACTACACCCAGGTAATTTTTTTGTATTTTTAGTAGAGACGGCATTTCGGTATATTGGTTAGGCTGGTCTCAAACTCCTGACCTCAAGTTATCCACCTGCCTCAGCCTCCCAAAGTGTTGGGATTACAGGCAAGAGCCACTGTGCCTGGCCCTCCCTATTCTTTTATAGATTAATGAGTATAATAAGAAAAATATTCTACCTGTAATAATATTTCAAAAGCCAATAGATTTTACAATATGAAATAAGATACAAACATAAAACTTACCCCACATTCTCCATATATTTCAGTTGAGCCATTTTTAAATAATAGGGTCTTCCCACAATAAAGTCCAAGGCATGCTGGTTGAATATCGACAGCTTTTTAAAAACAAACGCCAGTATAGTAACATCTTTTGTGATTATAAAAAAAATAATGCAATAATAGCTGAAGCACTTGGTAGAAATGTCTCAACACTGTTTCAAATTTTTAAACATGTATTAGACAAAAGTATGAAGCATCTTTAAATTTAAATTTCTTCTTTTACACTGTAACACTGCAAATAGTCATTCTGGAATCTTGCTGTTAATAATGTGCCTTAGATTAAGGTCCTCTCCCAGCAGAGCAGGATCTATCTCCAGAACTCAAAGCCTAACCCAGTATGTCTCCAATGGCTCCAGCCAGCCATTCTCCTTGATTAGAGGATACTTTTGAGTTTCACTGATTATAAAGTTCAAATATACATGTATTTTTAAATTAGAGCACCAACAGAGAGTCACCATCTTTTATTTTTCCCAGTCAAGACATTAAGCACCCACATGTATACACACGATTATCATCTATGTTCATAACAGAACACATTTTCACAGAATAGCAGAGAGAACGTAATGTCAGAACAGAGGTAAGTAAATTACCTTTATAAAAAGCTTCCTAGATTGTCCTAACTTTTATCATATTTGTGGAGGATAAGTGTAAATTTCATCAAGGCTGTCACTGGGCCAATACTTAGAAACCACTGCCTTAAAATTAATCCCCTGATCTCAAAGCTGAGGGGAAAAGCAGCTATTCCTTACTAAAAAACCCAACAACTAAGAACCTAATACGTTGTCTTTGACCTCATTCACAAGAAGAAATTATGGAAGGAGTTTTCTTCCTCACTGACATCTGACTCCCTTCATTTGTTGATTCAATCAGTCAATAAACATATATTCAGCTTCAGATTCCACTGGTTAGAGGTCACTAAAGGTCCAAGGAGAAACAGAGTTCGTGCCAAGAACCTACAATCTAATGTGGATTAAAACAAACTGTGGTCTACACGTGAATTAATTCGAAAAATCATGCAACTTTTCACTATTCTTGAACAGTCATTTCCCAGATTCTTCAAGAATTCATAGTCTAGACTGCCTGGTCTACAATGCCCTTTCTCCTTTCACATTCAAGTAGACTTTTTATTTCCTCCTTCTTATGCTGCTGAGAGAAAAAGAGAGCATTGACTAAAATGTCTCAGGTTTAATATTTTCGCTTTTAACAAATTTCTGACTTGGCTTTTTAAACCTATTGGCTTCTTTAATGGACACTGATTTTTTGGTAACCAATTCTAATCACAATGTTCTAAATAAATAAAAATGAATTATGTTTCAGATTTTTCAAGAATGCAGAAGCGAACCAATTGGAAACTTCTGTACGGGCTTTTCATCTAGTAGATGCTTAATAAATACATGTGATTGCCAATAATCTAAAGTTTCTTAAAATCCAAGGCCTGAAAACCAGTATGATAAACTGAACTGAAATAAACAGCCTATTACCTACTAAACAAAATCCAGGTTCCAAGTGTCTGTTCAATTTCCCCTTCCATTTCCTTTGGTGAACGATGGTTAAAGTTTTAAGACTATTTCTTTGTAACAGTCTTGCCCCTTTGGGACTGGCCGTATAAGTTTACGTTTGAGGTTGAAGCAGGAGACAAAATTATGCAGCAACTTGCTTCTGCTTTACTGTTTTTTTCTGCACTATCAGCCGCGCTTTCAATTCTGAAGTCAACCACCCTCATGCAAGTGTTCCCTCCACATTAAACTAAGGGACTGAAGGGACATTTTCAACCAAACAACAAAGGCCTGGCCTTTCCGCCGCAGGCAGCGCGCCTCCCCTGACTACCGGTCCGGGGCAAAGACCACCCCAGCCCAGCAGGAATGCGGGGCCCGGCCCGAGGGCGGGCGGGGTCAAGGGACGAGCCTGCGCAGCCAGCCGAAGGCCACCTACAAGAAGCCAAGCCTGAGGCCAACCGTGTAGGAAAGCAACCGGGACTAACAGAAACGTTTCCCGGGACCTTGGCGACCACTCACCCATCGGCCGCCTGAAGGTTTTGCTCGAGAAGCCCTAGATCGCGGATCTGTCAGCTACACCGAACATCCGGGCCACAGCGGGCTCGGCGGCTCCGCCTCCCAGTGACCGGGACAACCGCTCCGAAGTTCCTCCCCCGCTTCCGGGTTTAGGCTCCGAGGCTCCGCCCCCAGTGGGGCTGCCCCGCGTCCCGCCCTCTTCGCGCGGAGTCACGGAGTAGGGGCTCCTGAAGCCAGCTCTGCCGGGCTGTGCTGGTGTCCCCGGACGCAGACCATGGACAGCGCGCTAGCGGTGCCCCGGCCGCCTCCTCATGATCCGGGGACGCCGGCGCTGTCGGTGGTGGACATGCATACGGGCGGCGAGCCCCTGCGCATCGTGCTGGCGGGGTGTCCGGAGGTGGTCGGGCCGACCCTGCTGGCCAAGCGGCGCTACATGCGCCAGCACCTTGACCACGTGCGCCGACGGCTCATATTCGAGCCCCGAGGGCACCGGGACATGTACGGAGCAGTCCTAGTGCAGAGTGAGCTGCCAGACGCGCACCTGGGCGTCCTGTTCCTGCATAACGAGGGCTACAGCTCCATGTGCGGCCACGCTGTGCTGGCGCTGGGCCGATTCGCCCTGGACTTCGGATTGGTGCCGGTGCCGCTTGCGGGCAGCCGCGAGGCCCGCGTCAACATTCACTGCCCGTGCGGGCTGGTGGCCGCCTTCGTGGCGTGTGAGGACGGCCGCAGCCGCGGCCCGGTGCGCTTCCACAGCGTCCCAGCCTTCGTGCTGGCAACAGGTAACGGGCGGGACCCTTCCAGCCTAGGGCAGAGCTGCAACCGGGACGCAACTTAACCATGTTAACGGTCTCTCTGGGCTTGAAGTCTCGCAACTAACCCACCCCGCGTGCCCGTGCAATTAACAAAAAGGTAAATTACTGCGAACGTGTGTCAGTATTTGCTTGGTGTACGCAATTTCGATTTTCCCTGAGGTTTTGGGAGACCCTTGAGGAGTGAGGAATTCCGCGTTTCCCTTACTCAGCGCCTCCCTCTGCCCTCGTGAGGCATTCCTGGAGTTTCAGCGGTGCATAAAGCGAGGTACGATAGGGTCAAGGAAAGGGCAAAGAACAGCCAATGTACCAGGGTTCCAGGCTGGCTCAGATATGCTTGGTAGACACATAATCACCCTTAATAAGTTACTAAACCTTGTCTCCTTTCCTCAACTCCCCCACTTCTTTGAGGAAAAATTAAATGAGAATGAATGAACAAAGCAGTTTGTAAATCACTAAGATACACACGCTGCTTTTTAAGAACAGGAACACACATTGCCTGGGTTCAAATCCTGGTAACCCCCTAAAGCTGTGCAACCTTAGGCAAATTACTTAATCTCTCTGTGCCTGTGTTTCTTTTACCTCATAGAGTTTTCTGTTAGGATTAAATGAGAGTATGCAAGATACTATATTCCTGGAGATAGATTGCAAGGTATATTTGATTGCTAGAGTTCCTTAGGCCTATTGAGCTGTTAAAAGGTTTTGCTGGATTCCCTAGTACAGATCCTTTTACAGCATGTCATGTGAAGCAGAGCATCTCTATAACCATAACCCTTACAGGAGAGAGATCCCTCATGGGGATGACCTGGCAAGCTGGCATCTGGTTTCTCATCTGAGTACTTCCTCCCAGGGGCTGAATTCTATCAGTAAGAATGCTTTAGTCGTTGTGGCTGGAAGTGAGCCAGGAGTCAGTTCACCAGAAATAGTTATCCTTTTCTTAAAAATCTTCAAGCCATGCAAATCATCTGTTAGAAAGTTGGACCTTGATCCCTGCCTGAGGAACTAGGTTCCAGATTAGCCTGATTATGAATGATATGTAATAGAACAGGCACTTTTAGAGCAACCTCAGGCAGCTGAAACCCAAATGTTAACGAAAAATGCCTCTGGAGAAATTGATGCCATTTTCCCATAGAATGGTGTCACTTCCAGATTGGGAGGCCACTTGAGGGAGACAGAATTTATGTTTACAATTCCATTTTTCAAATCTCAACAGTTTAACTAGTGTGGCTACCAGAATTTCCCCCAGGCAACTCCAGCAGCAGATTAGAAACACTGTAGACTTTTGTGGGAAATGACAGCTGGCAGCAGGAACATGAACTACATTGCATTCCTGGGTCAGTTAGGGCAGGGTCAGCTAACTGCTTGAGCACAGTAGTTCCTGAGAGCATTACTGTGTGACAGTACAATAATTAGTGGGCATTAATGGTCACTGAGTTAAGAAAAAGAAATGCTATGTTTTCTACTTTGAAAAATGAGTACAAAGCAGACATGGTGTTCAAGGTCACTGCCCCGCACCTCCACATCTCAGTGACCTGTGCTAGAGAGTCCATGTCTCAGTATCACAGTCTATAAAATGAAGATGACAACAGTACCCACCTCCGAGGCTTGCTGAGTTCATCTCCACCCAACCAGGCTAAACTGCAAACTCTTTTGTTCACAGTATTCTAAGTGCCTAGAACAGCAGTCAATGAATATTTGTTGAATGAGTAACTAAATAAATGAAATTTGGAGACGGATATGCTGATTGATAAATGTAAACATCTGTTCCTCTTGAGAAACCTATTTCCATTGGAAATTAAAGTTTTGGCTATTGAGTCCCCAATCTGTGCCAGGAACTCCCCACACATGGAATTTTCAAAACAACTCTTTTTAGGAGAAATAGCAGTTACAGTTTGCACAAGAAGACACCAAAGCCACACTAAATGGAAGAACTAGGGTTGGAACCCTGGCCTATCATATTGCTTCCCTCTCATCCTTGAAATTTTTTGTAGTTTAAGGAGATATGTTTCAATTTTATGGAATACTGCTTAGTGTATTACACCTCATTCACAGATATAAGATGTTTTAAAATCTATCTTGTTCAACAAAACTCTAAGGAGGGCAAAGCTTGTGTTTTATTCATCCATGTACTTCTTATATCTTCCACAGTAATCAGCACATAGTAGGTGCTCACTAAATCTTACAAAGTAAATCAAATTGAAATTTCAATGATATGCTTGTATAGAAGAAAAGAAAAACTCTTAGATTTTGGTTTCTGCTTAGAGGTTGTGTATTTTAGTAGAAAGGAATAGGGCTTTGGAGTCACCTTATCCTAGGTTTGACCCTAAGCTCTGCCACTTACTTGGTGGGTAAGCCTGGGAATAATGTGAGGATAGTAAGTAAAACAGTACCTACTTCTCAGGGGTGTCGTAATTAAGGCACTAATGTAATGAATTAAGGGGCTATGTATGTAAAGTACCTGGCATATAGGAAGTACGCGTGTGAAATATCTTAATTTTTAATGTTAGTAATTTAGTGATTAAAAATGAAATACTCACAGATAATTGATGGACAAGAGTAACTGTAAAGGAAATTTGATCCATTTTAAAGAAAAGGAAACTGAAACTCAGGTGAAGCACCTTACCCAACCGCCCACCCTAAGAAAACCAGACCCAAGATTCTAGAAAGGGTGGGCCAGGGAAACCATTGTAGGCTCAGTGATGACTCCTCCTGCACCAGCATCTCCACTCTGTCCAGGCCCCGGGATTGGTGACTGATGCCCCATTCAATTGTTAAAATCAAGAGAAAAGGGCAGGCCAACTGAGCCCTAGGACTATCACCTGTGTCTCCTGGTAAATGCTGATGTTCACCCTCACCTTAGCGTTCCATATTCTAGGAGTCCCTCATTTCCATCAACTTCTTCATTCTCCTTTCATTAAACTTGCTTTTCATGTTGCACCAGCATCAAGATAAAGACATTTTTGATTCAATTTTGTTGTTAAGATCCACAGCATATTTTACTCTTTTGATTATAAATTTGCTCTGTTTAAAAAAAAAAAAAAAAAACATGGTTAAAAGGGTGTCTGTGGACTAGTGTGGACAAATAGCACACTGGTATCTTTGTATGACTTAGTATGAAAACTCAGGAATCCAAGATATATTTTCTTTCTCAAAACTTAATTTCTGAAATTGAAACCCTCCTCTGTCCTTTTGGTTCACTTAGCCTCATCACTTCATGTGTTGTCCCCTTTCCTGATAATGTGTGAGCAAAGTTTTCTTAAAAGTGCCATGGCCTTGGAGAGGATGGCACTTCAGTCCTCAGCTTACACAGTTAATCAGTGAAGCAGAACAGGAGCATCGGCTGCCCCACCCTACCTGGTCCCTGCTGGCTGCACAGCCTCCCCATCCTCTGTTTCTCCACATTCTGCTCCTGTGGTGCCCTGGGGAAGTTAACACAAGTCCTCTCTGCACTAAGGACCTTCAGCCTCCACTCTTCTTAAGCCAGAAAAAAATTATCTCTAGGAGAAATATTTCTCCCTTCAGGATACTCCTTTACCAACAGGTATCTTTCCCCTGAGAGCTTAGGCTCCTGTAAAATAAAAGCATGAAAGACCAGCTTTCTTCCCTGCCATAGACTTCCCAGAAAGGCAGTGATCACCACCCTAGCTTAAATTAGGGAAGAGGAAAAGAGGAAAATTTGATAAGCGCTAAAATAAACATCACCCAGCCTCCTTTCTTTGGAAATACAGATTCAAGATTTCAAACTACTGACCTTCAGGTGAAACTTTGGAGATGTTGAGACTTAAAATGCTCAAATAAAAACCCTGATGCAAAATGATGCTGTAGAGGTCAGTGATTCTACAATGGCATTTTTGTGTGTGTTTGCCTGCAGGATATGTTAATGAGATGAAAATAGGTAGATGAGTATATATAATTTATATAGAAAAATATTTTATTAGAATTTTTGTTTTGATATTACAGCTGAAGAAAACTGATTTGTAAGTAGGATCCAAGATCCTTACTATTTTAAACCATCTCTCATAGTGCAAGTGAGGAATTGACATCTTCCTTCATGGTGTTCACAGGGATGCCCCGGGGTTTCCCTCTCTTGGCCTCAGTGATGTTTCCTAGAAAAGATTCTCAGAGAAGTTAATGAATATGTCTATATGAGTTGGGGGAAGGCATGGCATTCAGTTTATAACTTCTGCAAACATCAAGTTAAAAATAGAAAGACGCATCTATCTATTATTCACCCGATGCTTACTCATTTTACAAAATGGATTTTTACTTCATTCTTTTTTATAATAGGAAAAGAAAATCCCTCCGCAAAAATGAAGATATTAAAAATCCTTTGAATTTCATTGCTAAAATACTTATTAACAAACACATCTTATTTCCAAACACATCTTTTTTTAGATCTCATGGTGGATGTTCCTGGACATGGAAAGGTGGTGGTGGACATCGCATATGGTGGTGCATTTTATGCATTTGTGAGTGCTGAAAAGTTAGGACTAGACATTTGTTCTGCAAAGACCAGGGACGTTGTGGATGCAGCGAGTGCAGTGACAGAGGCAGTAAAAGCTCAGGTCAGTATTACTCTGCCCTCATAACCAATGCCCTCCTCTGTGGCATGGAGGAAATATACATTATTATGTCTATAAAGAAAATACTGTTTAAATTATTAGTATTACTAAGAATAGGCTACTTATTAAAATCTTAAACTCTATAGCAAGCTTGTCCAAATCCTGGCCTGCAGGCTATATGCAGCTCAGGATAGCTTTGAATGTGGCCCAACACAAATTTTGTAAACTTTCTTAAAACATTAGGAGTTCTTGCATTTTTTTAAGCTCATCAGTTATTGTGTTAGTGTGTCTTATGTGTAGCCCAAGACAATTCTTCCAGTGTGGCCCAGGGAAGCCAAAAGATTGGACACCTCTGTCTAGAGCAAAACTACCTATGAATTCTAGCTTTACCACTTTTAACATATGTAACCTTGGATAAGTTACATAACCTCCATATGCCTCAGTTTTCCTATCTGCAAAATGGAAATTAAAAAATACCTGCTTTGTAGGGTTTTGAGAATGAAATAAGTCAATACATGTAAAGGACTTAGAATAGTGCCTGGCCAATAGCAAATGTTCAGTAAATGATAATATTATTTTTTTGAGACAGATTCTTGCTCTGTCACCTAGGCTGTAGTGCAGTAGTGTGATCATAGCTTATTCTAACCTTGAATTTTCACGCTCAAAATGATCCTTCTGCCTCAGCCTCTGGAGTAGCTGGGACCATAGGCATGCACCATCACACACAGCTAATTCTCTGTGTGAGTGAGTGAGTGAGTGTGTGTGTGTGTGTGTGAATGTGTGTGTGTGTTTATATAGAGACAGGATCTTATTATCTTGCCCAGGCTGTTCTCAAACCCCTGGCCTCAAGTGATCCTCCCACCTCGGCCTCCCAAAGTGTTGGGATTACAGATGTGAGCCACCACAACCAGCAGTTACTAAATTTAATAGTACATACATACCAATATAGTTTATAGTTCTTTAAATGTGTAGAAATGTGTTTGTAGAATTCCACAAATTTTAAATGCATGTGCATGATCATTCTGTAAAACTTGAAAATAATAAATGTAAAATATAGCATATAAAATATATTTAAGCCTGATAAGACTTTTTCTTATTTCACAGAGAACATTAATTCCTATTAATTATTTTTTTTTCCTATATTGCTAAGAAGTTACTCAAATAACTACTTAAGAAATCTAGTTTTTACTTGGGAAGCTATTCTGATAAAAATCAGTTTACATAATAAATAATTCTAGAATATTATTTCACTTTTACAAGTCTGCCATTTTACCTTGAAATTGGGACCTATAAATAAAACACGTGTACAGTATTTGAATGTTTGGTATATGAGAATTTATTAGTAGTAAAAAGTAACTTATGTAAAATAGTGTTTAATGTATTAATAATTATTATGGTCCTATCTAATAGTTCTGAGACTTTGTTTTAATATAATTTATAACTTAACAAAATGAGAATATATACTATATCAGTATTCTAAATTATTTTTCTGGTACTGCCAGTACCAATATGTGTAATTATCATAGTAACTTTTGAAGCTCTAAATTTACATCAATTTTCTGCCCCATTAAGCAGGACAGCTAATAGTTTGAGTTAACAGTTTGGCACAAAATAATTTCTCCTGATTTTTAATGAATTCAAGAGAAAAAGTCATGGATATCTTAATAAAAGTTGTAATTTTGAACTTGTCATTTGAGTTTGAACTGTACAAGGTGGCAAGGGGTGGACTTTGAGTGGGGAGGGATTCTGAGAAAAATGAGGACAAGTTCTATTATTGATGTATCAGACAGTACAATTAATTACTTTGTGAATTGTTGACGATTCATACTGCTGAAGCAGATTTAGGAAAAGGCCATGGAGATGGAGGGTTAAAGTTAATATAAATTCATGTTCATTCATTCACTCTTAACAAACATTTACCAAGAACACACTGTATGTATGTCAGACACTATGCTAGATGCTGGAGATTCAAAGAAAGAACAAATCCCACCTTCAAGGAGATAGCTCCAGTGAGCTAAGTGAGCATACCTGTGAACATTGTTATGTTGGAATGTGTTATAGTGGAGATGGGGCATATCATTTTAAGAGGATGGAGAACAAAGATTCAATCTGCAGGCCACTTTAACATAGTTTCAGATGGACTCTGGATGTTAAGAACCCAAAGCTGTTGCATTGCTTTAAATGACATGTAAATGGAAGTAGAAAGTACTAATTGTAAGGATACACAAGGGAAGTAAGATGATAGCAATCTCAGTCATACTATAAATGTTGCAGAAATCCTGGAAAAGTTAAAAGAACTAGACCTTTTAAGAACAAGTAGCACTGCACATTTGGGCGTGAATGTACTATTGAGTGACTTAGCAGTCCCTGCCAGTGCCTGCTTCTTTCTGTGCATATCTGCTGCTTTTAGATGAATCAACTGACTTCATCATCTACAATAAATCTTTTTTTCTTTTTTTTTTTGAGATGGAGTCTTGCTCTGTAGCCCAGGCTGTAGTGCATTGGTGCAATCTCGGCTCACGGCAACTTCCACCTCCCTGGTCCCAGTTCAAGCAATTCTACCTCAGCCTCCCAAGTAGCTGGGATTACAGGCATAAGCCTCCATGCCCAGCTCATTTTAGTATTTTTTTAGTAGAGACAGGGTTTCACCATGTTGGCCAGTCTGGTCTTGAGCTCCACTTTGGCTTCCCAAAGTGCTGGGATTACAGGCGTGAGTCACTGCACCTGGTCAATAAATCTTTTTTTCATTCAATTGTTTCTCTTACCTAATAGCTTCTGTATTCTTACAGCTTTTCCTTGTTCATGTCCTCTCGCAGTCTTTGTCTCTATCATTGATATTAACTTCAGCCCTAGATGCTCAGAGCCTGATTTTTCCACATCATCCTTTTGAAGCTCCTGAGAATAAGATTATGATTGCCTTAGCTCATCCTGTTCAAGCAGCCATTGCCAGCCTGTGGATTGACCATCCTGGGATCAGTGCTTGAACGACTGTGTGTATTTGGAGTAGGAGGGGTATAAAATAGAGCTGCTCTTTTAGCAAAGGCTATATGCAGGACAACTTCCTTACAAGGGACTCAAAGTATGATAAGAATCATAATTTCCAATAAAACTATGTTTCTTCATCTAGACAAAGGCATAATTTCTGGCAATTAGTATTTATGTTGCCCAAAAAATCTATTTTAAAGATGTTAAGAATTAAAAAGTTATGTCTAAGAATGACTCATTTACATTATAAAGATAAATTTGAATCAAAATATTTATTTTGCATGTAGTTGATCATATCATTTTTTCTTATTATTTGCAGTTTAAAATTAATCATCCTGATAGTGAAGACCTTGCCTTTTTATATGGAACTATATTAACAGATGGAAAAGATGCTTATACCAAGGAACCAACCACCAACATTTGTGTTTTTGCAGATGAACAGGTATTAAAACTGTTATGTTTAGGCACAAAAGCCAGGTAATATGGAACTAAAACACTGTTAACATTCTTATCTTCAATTATTCTGAAACAGGTTGACAGAAGTCCCACTGGCTCAGGAGTGACAGCCCGAATTGCCTTACAGTATCACAAAGGGCTTCTAGAACTGAACCAGACCAGAGCCTTTAAAAGCAGTGCAACTGCCTCAGTATTCACAGGGAAAGCTGTGAGGGTAAGTGACACCCTTAGCTTCTTATTTATAAATGTGTCATTTATGAGACTGAAGAGGCCTTGCCGGGCGCGGTGGCTCACGCTTGTAATCCCAGCACTTTGGGAGGCCGAGGAGGGTGGATCATGAGGTCAAGAGATCGAGACCACCCTGGTCAACACGGTGAAACACCATCTCTACTAAAAAAAAAAAATACAAAAATTAGCTGGGCATGGTGGCGCACGCCTGTAGTCCCAGCTACTCGGGAGGCTGAGGCAGGAGAATTGCTTGAACCCAGGAG